AACTATCTCATGATCAATGAGCATTTTTCCCATTCTAGAGTTCAAATCAGTGTTTTTGGGTCTGGTCCAACTTGGTCGGTTAAACCAGTTAAACCGAACTTGAGCTTAACAATGAGCCAGTTGCATACCCCAGCCCGTTTTGTCAAATAGCCCGTTATGACCCGCTAAAACTCGCTTCACCCGCTAAGCCCGCTAGGTCCGTGTAGCCCGTTCCAACCGGCCGGGCTGAATTCTGTCCATCTCTTTTTCTCTTTTAACTTTTTTTGTTTTTAATTTTTAATGTATTCTACCAATTCTATCCCATCTTTTTTAATATTATTACAATATAAACCATACCCTTAAATTAGAAATTACAAAATAAAATAAAAAAAACCCTACGAAATCATTTGGAAATAAAGAAAACTCTGCAAAACCCGGAAGCAAAACCCTGAACAGGGCAACCACCGACTACCCACGAGCTTCGGATCTCAGGTATCAGACGCTTAGCCACCTTCATCGGTAACTCCACAGCTCACTGTCCAGCCCTTCGTTGCTCACCTTCGGCTTCTTCCTCCCCTAGACAGAATCAGCAAAGCAAACACCTTCGTCGGCGGCTCTACAGCTCACCGTCCAGCCCATCACCGCTCACCTTCGGCTTCTTCCTCCATTGGACAAAAGCAGCAAAGCAAAACATAACGGAATCAACAGATCGTCACCGTCTGCCTCACTCCTCCACCTATCACCTCCTTCTCCTTCCTCCACCAAATGGAAACGACAAAGAAAACAGAAATTGCAGAACAGATTGCCCCCCAGAAGCACCGCCTCATCTTCTCCGTTGCTTCCCTTCTTCTCCTGCCTCCACCGAACAAAAGCAGTAGCAGAAATCAAAATTGGCCTCATCTCCTCTGTAGCAACTCACCTTTTCAATTTTACATGTGTTTTTTTAGTTGACCGGTTGGATCGGTCGGGTGAACCGATTCAACTAGTTGGTCAGAGGTAATTTTGTGCTGTTTATTACTAAGCTTATTTTGTTCCTTACACTTTTGATGTTTGATCAATTAATGCTTTGCTTAGAGTTTGAAAAACTTAAAGCGTGTCTATAATTTTCTGAATGTATGTTAGGTGATGGGATGGTCGGAGTCAGGCATTTGGTTCTTGCCATTTTGTGGGAAGGAGGCAAACTTATTGCTGGAAAGGTTGGTTATATATTTTTAGTGCAAAAAAAGAGAAAAAAAAAATAAAAAAGAAAAAAAAAAAGGCCTCAGCATTTAATCTTGAAAAATTTTGGTTATATGGGACTTGCGTATGCAAACCAAGGTTATCTATTTTTATTTTATTTTTATGAATGTGTCTTACTAAGTGGGAATTGGAATGTGAATTGTAGAAATCTGTAACACTGAGGCTTATCTTCTTAATTTTGTATTTACATGTCCAACAGGGAAAGGAAATACTTAAGGATTTTGATCCTTTTAGCTGGTCTGAGTTTTCTGAGGTCTTTGTGAAAAATTTCCTAGAAGGTAAAGAACAAACATTTTGTGTTGACTTTTGTATTCTAAATAAAAGTTCGAGGGGATAGGCAGTAGTTGCCATTTCTTTCGCTTCAAGTATGACACCTAAACACATGGCCTTGTGAGTCGCTTGGTAATGGTGTGTATCACCCAACTCATGGGCTTGGACTGGGTTCAATCCTCCTTACCCCCAAAAATTGCCCTTGATAAAAAAAAAAAGAGTATGATACCTAGTGGAAACTGAAAGTCGTCCAAATTACAGTCACAAAATAAGTCAGACATGATGTGGGATCTA